CTATTGGTAGGATGGCCATTTTGATAATGTTTATTCTTCCAATCTATGAGCAGGGGATGTCTTTCCATTTCTTTGTGTCTTCTTCCATTTCCTTTAAGAGTGTGTTATAGTTTTCTTTGTATAGGTCCTTTACCTCTTTTGTTAGGTTTATTCCCAAGTATTTGATTTTTTTTTGTTTCAATAATAAAGGGATTGTTTTCTTGATTTCTTCTTCTTCAAATTTATTGTGTATAGGAAGGTTACTGAGTCTTGTGCATTGATTTTGTATCCTGCTACTTTACTAAACTGATTGATTAGTTTGATTAGTTTGATTAGTTTTTCTGTGGAGTTTTTTTGGTTCTCTATGTATATTACCATATCATCTGCGAATAGTCATAATTTAACTTCTTCCTTCCCTATTTGGATTCCTTGTATGTCTTTCTCTTGTCTTATTGTCCTAGCTAGAATACTCCAGCATTATATTGAAAAGCAGTGGTAAGAGTGGTCATCCTTGTGTTGTTCCAGATCTTAATGGAAATGCTTTTAACTTTTCACCATTGAGAATGATATTGGCTATGAGTTTGTTATATATGGCCTTTATGATGTGGAGGTATGTTCCTTGTATCCTGAGAATTTCAAGGGCCTTTATCATAAATGGGTGTTGTACTTTCTTGAAAGCTTTCTCAGCATCTATTGATATTATCATATGGATTTTTAAAAAAAGATTTATTTATTTATGCATATAAGAGCTGGGGTACAGGCCAGAGGTGTGTGGGGTGGGGGGGGGTGAGAGGATTCACGAGAAACAGAGTGGGGAACAGAACAGGCAGGTTGACCAAAGTACACTGCTGAGGGGAGCAGTGGGCAAGTCAGGAGAGGTCTACTGCACCATGTGGGTTGCTCCCTGGCTGGCTGGTAATCGAACTTGTGCAGCAGTGGCTGCAGATAGCTTCATAGGTTGCATCTTAACCCTTGTGCCACCAGGGAGGCCCTTATATGGTTTTTATATTTCTTTTTCTTGATGTGTTAGATTGCATTGATTGATTTTTAGATGTTGAATGATCCTTGTGTCCCTGGAATAAATCCTTCTTGGTGGTGGTGAATTATCTTATGGATACATTGTTGGATTCTGTTAACTAAAATTTTATTGAGAATTTTTGCATCAGTGTTCATTAGAGAGATTGGCCTATAGTTTTCTTTTCTTGTATTATCCTTGTTCGGGTTTGGTATTAGTGTAATGTTGGCTCCTTAGAACATGTTTGGTATTATCTCTTCCTTCTCAATTTTTTGAAAGAGTTTATTAAGGATAGGCACTAGTTTGTTTCTGAATGTTTGGTAGAATTCAAGAAATGAAAAACTTATGAGGAATGCTGATAGCACTGCTATTCATATAACATCAGAACTAACCAAAAGGCATAAGATTGGGGAAAGGGTTTAGGCAATCATTACTAATCTGCTATAACTCCATGTTACCTTTAAAAATAACAAGTAGACAATGAATAAGGGTAGAAATTTACAAAAAGCAGAATTAAAATAGTGCTTACACAGATTATAAGTATGTGAAATGTGAAAATTTCTAAGACATCAGCAGATAAATTGAAGAGATACCCATGGTTAAGAGTTACATATTCAGTTAAGTTCCTTGTTTTGGTTGGTTTCTTAAGTTCATCACACCCTCCCCTGGAATAGCTTGCTCTTAGACTAGCATGAAATGTTTACTGATTAACATGGCATTTTTGTTTTTGTTGCATGACCATGGAAAGAGGATGGGCTGTTAGATAAATTGCTTCTATAGCATATCTACTCATTCAACAAATAACAACCAGTATCTATGTGCCAGATACTATATTGAGCAGTGTTATTTGTTCATTCAAAAGTGAACAAATCTGACATGGTTCTTGGCCTTAAAGGATTTTACAGTTTAGTGGGAAGAGGGACACAACACCAAAATTCAAAGTGATTTGGGCACTTATTTAAAGAGTTCATGATTCTCGGGATTGGTTAAATAAGGAAGGCAAACTAGTTTCGTGTATCTGGGAAGATTTCTCTGAGGAATAGATTACATAGGCATTTTGACATCTTGATAAAGAGCAGAATTAGAGGGGGAGAGAACAGCAAGTGGGAAGGTTTTAAGGGGAAAAAAAGACTTTGTTGTGCTGAGGGAACTAAAAGGTCTGCAGATGGAGCACAGTAAGCTAGTACAAGAGTGATCTAGGGTGTAAGAGTCATAAGCAGGGAGGCACCAGATCAGGCAGAGCTTTATTAATAACACGGGCAGAATCTAAAATGGATTGGGGGCGAAGAGTATGCACGAATACCAGAAGAGGACTTTAGAAGCTATTGTGGCAGTCCAGATGAGAAAGGATTGTTGTTTGTATTAAAGTGGTAGCATCAGCAGTAGACAAATACATGGACTTAAAAGATATTTAAGATGCAGCATAACTAGGGGACTCATAGATTTGAAATGTGGGAGAGAAAGACAAGTCAGTGATGCCTCCTAGATTCCTGGCTAGAACTAGGTGGGTCTGTGGTGTCATTTCCTGAGGTAGGGAAGACTGATGGAGCAGGTTGGATGGTGGAAGATGAGTTGGGCTTTGGGATTGGTTGGATTTGAGTTGCCTGGCGCAGCGGTTGAGCGCTGGGTTGCGAAGCTGCCCGCAACCTCTGCGGCGCCGGTTCGATCCCCGGCTGCTCCCCGGCCACTGGAGGAGGGTCCCACATGGCGCGCAGACCTCTCCTGCCGCCCGCTGCTCCCCTCAGCAGTGTATTTCGGTCCTTCTGCCTGCTCTGCTCCCTGCTCTGGCTCTGGTGAATTCTCTCACCCTCCCACGCTTCTGACTGTACCCAGTGCATGTATAAACAAACAAACAAATAAATAAATAAACATGCCTCTATAAAAAAATAATTAAAAAAAATAAATAAAATAGCCAAGGGACTATGTCCAGTAGGTGGGCAGTGAATTCACAAGTTGAAGTTTGGGAGAGTTCAGGAGAGAACAGGTCTGAAGTGACTGAATCTTCTTGGCTTGGGGAGTGGATGAGAGCCTAGGAAGTGTGAGAACTGGATGGGATAAAGCCCTAAGAATCTACAGCAACTAGAGAAGAAACTAACAAATAAGAATAGTTGGAGAAGTACTAGGAAAATTGTCACATCAATTAAAAGAAGAATGATTTGAAAAGGAGGGTTTGATATTGCTAGGAAGCCTAGTAACAACTATTAGTGATATTAAGTATCTTTTGTAGAGTTGTGGAACCAGAAGCTAGATAACAGTGGGTAAAAAGTAAAAGGTCAGTATCTAGAAAGAGAACATGAGCTCATGTTTTTATTTACTTTTAAAGACAGGAGATTTAATGCATCTATACAGTTAAATGCTGATGGGAAGGAGTCAGCAGAGAAGTTGATGATGATGATATGTGTGTGTGCACAGAAAACCTTCCTTGTCTTAGCTTGTGACTTGGGAAAAGGGTTTTCTTCCAAATATAAATACATGGAGGGAAAAAAGTCAGGAATTTACTTTTTTTTTAAACACAAACAGCAACTGACAAGTTAGTTTCCCCTACATAAGAAGAAACTTCACTTAAATGCATTTAGCATTTGATTTTTTTTAGTGGAATTTCACTTGTCTCCTTTTGGAACAAGTGACCAATCTTCCTATTTCTGTAGAGCCTTTCATCTTTGCTTCGTTTCATTTATTTGACCCAATTCTTTTAAGTCCTCTCTTTTTTTATGAGACTTCCAGGCTACTGCTCTTATTTTACTTTCCATCTTTTATATACATGGAACCTGAAAGGAAGCACAATGCAGGGCTTTTAAAAATGCCTTAGATCAGTAGATTGATGTTAGGAGCTGATCCAATTATGATCTAATACAAAAACAAAGCCAGTTATTATATAGGTTCTGCTACACAGTAGATATTGAGATGATGATTTTTCACTAGTGGTCTGTTATATACCAGCTGAATTTATGAAATTTTAAAAGTGAAGTGAAGCAAGATTATATTTTAAATGTTCACGCAAGGAGTTCTTGCCATGATTTTCTGGGACAGGGAAAAAGGAGGGGGTGAAAGAGGGAGAAGACATGAAGGCCCTGCATTTGAGTCTTAGCCCTGTCACTTTCTTTTTTGATTTTTTAAATTTTTTTAAAATTTTTTAAAAAAAAAAGATAGATAGATTGATTGATTGATTGATTGATTGATTGATTGATTGATTGATTTATATAAGCACTGGGTACAGTCAGAAGAGCGGGAGGGTGAGAGAATTAATTCACCGGAGCCAGAATGGGGAGCAGAGCAGGCAGAAGGACCGAAGTACACTGCTGAGGGGAGCAGCGGGCGGCAGGAGAGGTCTGCGTGCCATGCGGGACCCTCGCTGGTGGCCGGGGAGCAGCCAGGAATCGAACCAGCGCTGCAGAGGCTGCAGGCAGCTTCGCAACCCAGCACTCAACCGCTGCACCACCGGGGAGGCCCAGCCCTGTCAATTTCAATCACGTGACTAAGTATCTATCTCCAACTTTGTTTCTTAGCTATAAAGTGAGAATACTATCTGGAAAAACATGGTTATTAAATGAGACTATACATAGCAGTGTTCAACAGGCCATTTTTTTATATAGCTGTTTAGGTGCAACATAGAACTAGATTTTCAAATTTGCTGCTTGTCTTCAAACTGGGTAGTAGAAGATGGAGAACAGGTTTACTTTACTGTCCATTTCATGCTTTACATATGATAATTAATCCTTAGAGTACCTGCTTAAACATAATACTATCTTTATTTTACAGATGAGGCTACTGAATCTCAAACTTGCCTGAGGTTCTAACAGAGCTTGGATTTGATTCAAACATTTACACTCTTTCCAATACCACAACATGGAAATTTCCATAAATATTTTCCCCTTTTCTATTTTGTAATGAAAGAAAAACTTACAATATTAGTAAAAAGCCATGTGACTGAGAAATTCTATGTTGCCATTTCAATGGAATACCTATTATTAAATGTATTATAAATAACCACATTATTAAAATGTATAATCAATATGGGTATAGTAAAAATCAAGTATGTATTAGAAATACCCAATTGTGAATTTTTCAATGATTCTGATTCAGTTAGGATGGGTGCTTATGAACTTCAGCAGCTCTCTAGTCAAAGTGCACAAATATTTGTGATTTAGACAGTATTAAACAGAAAACCCATTGATGCTTATTTTTATTTTTGACCACCATCTACAGCTGGGTTTACATATGGTAACCCTTCTAATTCCATAAAAGACACAGGTTGGACAAGTGTATTTGTGAAGCAATACACAGAATATCTGAAAGCAGGGTAGGTCAGTATGGTAATTGCTCAATTCCATTTTGAATAACCTGCTTTCCTTTTGAATATATTACGCTGAACTTTGCAGACTAGATCTGTTTGATACTAAAAGAAAAGGAACACAATCCTAGGAAAAGAATTTTTGCTATGTTCTAGTATGTCACATTAACAGTGTATGGTCAAGCAGGTATACAACTTTTGGGCTAGTAAAGGAATCAGGGAAAAATTAGGAGTAAACTCTTAAATTCTCTTGTTATAATGCTAACACTTACAAAAGGCATATGTGGTTGTATAGAGAGGAATGGACTTTCATGGTCTGGACTAGATGTCTAAGTTAACAGCTATTGAAATAATACAGAAGTCCCCTTATCAATGGATGATAAGTTCCAAGACCACCACGGTAGTACTGAATCCTATATATGCTGTTTTTCCTGTACCTAAACACCTAGATAAAGTTTAATTTATAAATGAGGCACAATTTATTAATGATAATAACTAATAGTAAAATCAAACAATTTTAACAATCTACTCTAATAAAGTTATGTGAATATGATCTCTCTCTCCCAAAATATCTTATTGTATGTTTTGGACCACATTAACCACAGGTAACTGAAACCGTGGAAAATGAAGCAGTGGATTAGGGGGACTACTGTATTACTTTCTTATCTCTATCTACATTCCTGGCCTCAGCAACCTAGGTCACTCCTTTTGCTGTCCCTCCCTCCCTATTTCACCTCTAGCCGACTCCCAGTTGCTTAATCTATTTTTCCTGTCCCCCTCTTGCATTAACTCTTCTTTTCATCCAAAACATACTTATTTGAAATGGAAACTTTTTTGGTATCTTTCTCTTTGACTTTTAGTTTCAACTTCTGTTCACTCAGGCCTGCCTGTAACCTGTACTTATTTACACTTACTGTGTTTTCCCTCCCTGACTAAAAGGAACTGAGTTTCTGCCTCTGTGGTCACTGAGCAGTGAGGTTATTTTGGGCCAGCAGGGCTGAGGGCAGGGTTAAGCTGGGGAGGTAGCTGAAAATAAAGTTTCACGGCTGAAGCTGATCTTTGGTTTTCAACTTTCAAATGCTTTGCAATCTAATTCTCTTTAGGAATACAATTAATGTGTATACTCATTATCATCTGGTTGTTAATTATTTGAAACAACTCTCAAAAAACACGACTTAGGAGGGAGTGCATTTCTTTTTACTCTTGTTTCCACACTTAAAAAAAATGATATCATTTACATTTTGAATTAAGTGAAAGGGTTGAGAAAGGTCACTTTTTCTCTTTCATATTTCAAAAACAAACCAACACTTAGTCTGTAAATTTCTGATACAATAATAGTCCTGAAATTACCATCACAGAACTGAAAGCAATTCTGCCAGACTAAGGAGAGAAAGGAGAGAAAATTATGCTTATCAGAAACAAATATTTATCCGAAAAGACAGGTAACCTTGGGAAGTCATCAGCTGTGAGTTTTAAAACCACAGAACTTTGGATACAAGGACAGTGTATGTATGGCTAATAGACAAGGCAAAGAAAAGCTGTTGTCAGTCCAGAGCAGCAAGTTGGCCCACTCACTGAAGTAGTTCACTTTAATGAAGTTACTCAGGATCCTCCTTTCTTAAAGTATTCTAGGAATCAGACAGGGAAAGGTGGGCTAACACCATCTTTATCAAATATTTGCAAAGGTCAAGCTGATAGCCAGGAATGACTTTGCAAGGTGAATGGAAGAGATATCACAGAACTGAGCAACTTATTGTCACTATATCTAGATGTTGAAGTAGGCTAGGTCTTGGTCTGCTTCTAGCCCATTGATCTCTTTAAATATGTGGGCTGTACAAAAAGTTTTTGGTTTTTCTTTATTTTTCTTCTTGTATTTATCTAGATCACACATGTTCTTGATTTGTTTTACAGGTCACTGCTTTTCTTTTGGAATAGCTGATATGGATAAAGGAAGCCAAAAGGGAACTAACAAATGTTCAGATAGTCTGCTTTTAGGTTTTTGTATATAACATCAAGACATTTTCACAGAACACACGGCTCTCAAGTTAGGGTTAAAGTGAAACTTTCCATCAGGATAATGCAGAAAGTGACATTCTTTCAAGCTTCCCTCCTACCAGGCATCTTCCCTCAGGCACTGAGATTGCAGCCATCCAATGAATGGGAATGGGCAGAAAGAGGAGACTTCAGAAGTCACAAATATATTTCAAAGCTAATTTTTAGCGAGACTGACAATGAGATCTTTCCATTCTTTCCTCTTCTTTGTGATGTATGTAGGAGTAAGGAGCTGCAACAATGATTCTGGCTGTTGCCTGAAGAAGTTCTTACACAAGGCCTCAGTATTACATATCACATACATCCCACAGTCATAGCTGTTTTGTTGAGCAGGGGCTTTTTCTTCCACAAAGATCAGTTTATTTCCTTTTCTGCCTAAGAAAGCTTCCAGTTTCTCTGCTACCTGCTTTGCATGGACTGAGTTGCTCTTGCTATGGGAATCATAATGAAAAAAGCTATTTTTATCTTGGAGATAAACCAACAAACTCCAATGGGTTCCTCCAGCTGCCTGGTTGGAATTATCATTGATGGCTAAAAATACAACTTTCTTGTGGGGGAGGCCCAGGGGTTCGAGGAACATGGCGATCTCTGCTGGATTGTTTGTGCACTTGATAAACTGGGTGACTTCAGGGCTGATGAAGCAGACATAGTCAGAACAATCATGAAACTGACTATTGGCAAAGTACTCAAAGGCAAACCCAATAATATGGTCATTGAGCCAGCTTGGAGGATCCAATAATGAGACATCTGATTGCCGCAGCAGACTGTCCATGTAACTCAAGACTACAGGGTCCATTTGTACTGTCCAGGCTGCTCAGAAATTCCAGACGCTGAAGGAGAAGCAGAAGACAATATTTTCAGCTGAATATGGCACCTGACTGTAAAATGAGGATCACAAATAGTAGGTATTTTTATATAGTTTTGGTAAAGATTAAATATAATTGTAAAGTATTTACAATAATGCTTGACTAAGTAAATATTCAACAAATTCTAGCTTATGTGCTATATGCTAGCAATGAATTAGAATGAAAACTCTGGAAAATTTCCATGCTGAAGAAGTAAGTATGCATTTTAAATTTCCTCTTTAAATGTAGATATTGATTAAAATTATAATTGATATTTTACCAAACTCCACAGCATTAACCAAATATTTCACCCTTTAATGAACATGCATGATAACAAAGGTAACTTATTTTTATATTAAAGATGAATTTTCAAAGAGTATAAAGAAAATTTGCTAATAACTAAAAGAAATAATTTCTATTCAACATTAATTTTCATGAGATAAAATATTTCTTCCTTATTCCATAATTAAAGAATAATGTTGCAGTTAAAAGGAATTATAATTTGAAGAATGGAAAATCACAAGAGTATACAAATGAAACTCATTCCTGATTCTGCCCAGTTATGAGCATAAGTAGTATGTTTTTGCCCAGTTCCCATCTTTACCCTTAGAGATAAAATAAGAACCATGGAATGTTTACAGTGTAAATTAGAAATTCTCTTGGCATTGAAAGGTATTATGGCATGGGAATCAGGAGACCAGAACCTAACCCTAGTTCTACCACTGACTTGCTGGGATCATCTTAAGCGGTCATTTAAATGATTTTACCCCTCCTCTTGTCATCTGTTAAAAAATGTCATAGGTCTGCTTTACAGTCCTCAGAGAGTGGTAGGATAGGTCAAATAAATTTTCTCAAAGGAATTAAAAGAGCATAAAATGTTGTACAAATGATATTTATGTTATAAATTGAATATCAGCAGGATGATTATAAAGTTTAGGTAAAAGTCTAAACCAATGAAAGCAAATGTTGTTGGAAACAAATATCCATTCATACTATCTCATCTGAACAAAAGCATGACTAACCTAGAGTAGGAGTAAGACAAGTTGTATGATAAGATTAATATGCTCAGGATCACCTGATCATGAGGTAAGCTGCTAATAAAGATAAGTAGGTGCAGAAGGTGACATGATATTTGAGCCTAACAGAGAGAGCTCACCACTCTGTACTGACCTACCAGTATAACACTTTCTAAAAATCACAAAGTGATAAATTGTCACATGCAGATTGAGAGTAAACACAAAGCATAGTATAAGAAAATAATAATACTTCAGTGAAAGACAGGCCTAGAACTATGACATCAATTAATAAACTCTGTCCATTGGGGCTATTTGTTATTTTACCAACTGGCAAATTTGTGGCAAATTTTTATGAGATAAAAACCTGCAAAAACCTATACAGAAAAATAAATATACTCAAGGAAAAATGCTTAAGTAAATGAGCACCAAAAATGGTTTTATGTGCACACAGTATATCATGATCTGAACTACTTCAGAAATAACATGGGTTTGCTTATGAGAGAAAAAACTATATATATATAAAGTAAAATGGTATGAATTAAGATTTTCTTAAGAGGAAAGAATAACTTGAGCAGAGACATAAGCTGGAGCCAGGAATGAAGTTAACGAGGCATAGAGCACATTTGTTTTGGGTGGACCAAAATTTGGCTCTAAGCTTTTTGGCAGCTAACCAGAAAGTGTTAAGTTAAACATTCACAAAGTCCATAAGGTAAAACCAAAGCAACTGCTCAGAAGAGGTTTAAAAACATTCTTTGTATTAAAGTCTGACAGTTTTCTTTCAAGAAATTTTCATAAAAGACACAGTGTATCATAATGAACAACCCACAATAACCTTAGAATAGATGAAAGGGCTTCACAGGGTCATTTCTTATAATGATCCTCAAAAGCCACCTAGTAAAAGAAATTTTGTGGAGTCCAGGTACTCCTTTTGCTGCAGAACTGACCTGATTTAACAGTATATGAATATGAAAGGGAGTGACTGCTTATGAAGGAGCAAGGTTCCATGAATCTCTGTGACTTGCCATCAGTGAATACTACCCAGTGGTGAGTGCCAGAATGGAGACCTGCTCTCTAAGTTGCCAGCTGAAATCAGAATCACATATTAAGAGTTAACCTAACTAGAGATATAAGCCTGCAAGAAGAACAGTGCCTGAAATAAATGGGTGTCTCACAACACAAGGAGTATCCACAGGCAGGGCCAAAATTTCCTTCAAAAATAGTTTTTGTGCTGTCTGTTTGATTTTGGAAACATCCAACACAGAGATAATGGATCAAGTCAGGGACCTACCAAATCCCACACAGAATGACTCCAATAGTTTAACCCTAACTATTCTGAAACAAATGGAACCACACTAGTCTTTGGTTAAACTACTCTGGGCTCAAAAGAAAACTCTAAACTGCACATCTGAAGACCTGAATTTTAGACTCAGCTCTGTTACTCATTGACTGTGTGATCATAAAGAAACGATTTAATTTAAGCTTCAGTTTCCTTTCTGTAAAGTAAGAATATTAATGACCTTTACCACTAGGTATTTGTCAATGTAAAACGAAGAAATATAGGTAACTAAGATTTAAAAACCCATAACAAAGTATTTCCAGATATGTAGAGTGATCAGGAAATTTATATCCCAATAACTGAAAACTAAAACTATATTTCATTTAACAAATGCTTGAGTATTTCCTATGTGCTGAAGGTTGGACATACATAATGGGAATAAAATAGTAGTAGTTCTTATCCTCACAAGTTTAAGACTATTATAATGAACATATAATGAATATACAATTCTTTCAGTCAATAAACATCATCTTAATGCCTAGTTTTAGGTGCTGTGGGAGATACAAAGATGTATGTAGTCAGAGAGACAAGAAACTCATGAGGCTCAAATAAGTTACATAGGAATTCAGAAGAGGGAACAATCACTCCTGGCTAGAGGGTAGAAGGGAAGGAAAACTCAGATCGGGAAAGACTTCAAAGAGAAAGTGGTATAAAAGCAGGCTCTTGAAAGGCAGATACAGATGGATGCACAGAGGACAATGAAAAAGGCGGAAAGACAACGAAAGTGCCTTTAAATGTTTAGTCAAATCTGACAGGAATGAAGTGGAATAAGGTGTGCTGGCAAAGGCTAGAGGGAGTTAGCTGGTGACAATATGAATTCTGAGAGAATCTGGAATTTATACTGGAGGAAATGGGGATGCATCAATAACTAGGTCAATGATTTGGGAAGATTATTCAGCCAATATATGCATTAATTGGTGGGGAAAGAAATTGAGGGTAGAGATCAATTAGATTTTTACTGGAAGTAAAGGTAGGAGATAATGACCTAACTAGGGGACGTGGTAGCAGAAATAGACAAGAAAAATGTAGACAGAATAAGTGGTCAGAGAAGGGTAAATGAGAGAGAAGAAGGAATTAATAAATGGTCTGGGAGTTTTAGTTGGAGCAACTGAGAGGATGATAATAGGGGCTGGGGGAAATAGGAGAGGAAGTGGACCTAGCAAAAGAACCAAGAGCCATCTAGTATCAACATAGGGATATTTCTTTTCTACACTGTGAGCGCTACTATGCTTGGCATCCCTGACATACAATAACTGTTTGCCAGATGAGTTATTTTCTTTTTTCTTTTTTTTATAGAGGCATGTTTTTTTATTTATTTATTTTGTTTGTTTGTTTGTTTTGTTTATACATGCATTGGGTATAGTCAGAAGCGCGGGAGGGTGAGAGAATTCACCAGAGCCAGAGCGGGGAGCAGAGCAGGCAGAAGGACCGAAGTACACTGCTGAGGGGAGCAGCGGGCGGCAGGAGAGGTCTGCGCGCCATGTGGGATCCTCTGCCAGTGGCCGTGAAGCAGCCGGGGATCGAACCGGCGCCGCAGAGGCCGCGGGCAGCTTCGCAACCCAGCGCTCAACTGCTGCGCTACCCGGGAGGCCCAGATGAGTTATTTTCAAAAAGGAGTCAGAAAATAGAGTAAGGAAAAAATGCCTCTTAAGGCCTTTGTCATATTTTAACATGTATATTTTTGCATTGCTTTTGTGTTTTATTTTCCTCTGTCGATTAATAGTAAATTCCTTCTGCGCTCGCTTCGGCAGCACATATACTAAAATTGGAACAATATAGAGAAGATTAGCATGGCCCCTGCGCAAGGACGACACGCAAATTCATGAAGCGTTCCGTATTTTTAGAAGATGTGGTTTATATACACAATGGAATATTATTCAGCAATCAAAAAAGATAAACTCACGCCATTCGCAGCAACATGGATGGCGCTAGAAGGAATTATGCTCAGTGAAATAAGCCAGAAGGAAAAAGAAAAATATCGAATGGTTTCACTTATAACAGGATTATAGGGAAACCAAATAAGACATCAGTGTAAAAAAATAGTAACAGTACAAAACACAATAAAGCAAAAACAGGCAATTATAAATCAGAGACATCCTGCAGGGGAGGAGGAGGGAGAGGGATGAGAGGGAGGAGCACAGGGGACTGTGGTGATGGTGCACAGGTGCCTTGGGGAACGAAATTCTATGGGGACTCAACCTGAGGGGGTAGGGGGAAGCAAATATTGTTTAAAAAAATAAAAAAAATTAAATTAAAAAATAGTAAATTCCTTCAGAATAAGATATATAGGTACTTGGTCTGGCAGATGATTAGGGATATTGGGGAGTAAACTGGGGAGACAAAGACCTCCTCATAGTTTTATTTGTAAGATCCTTCAAAATATATTATAGTTCTATGTTTTTGGGTTTAAGAGACATTAAGTCCAGGCTCTGATTTTGCCACTTGCTATCTATGTGACTCTGGGCAACTTCCTCTCTTTCTGGGCTTCACTTTCTTCATTCATAAAATGAGGTAATAATAAAACCTGCCTCACAGGGTTGTTAGGCAGATTAAAAACATGACTGAAAATACTCAGCACACTGAATGTTTATAGCAGTCTTTCAAAAAATTTTCTTATATTTGGGGTGCTAAATAATAGATTTTAAATATTTCTTGAAAATAAAAGCATTGTTTTTATATAAAGTCCAAGTTATCAAGGACAGAGCTAGCCAGGACATGACCCATGCTTTTGTGCATTAGGTTGGCATAAGAGATAATGCTAACTTGAGGGAAAGTTGTTCTTTCAACCTCACAGTGAAGCAATGATGTTAATGTGTGTGTTATCAGTATATACACACCCTGTGATTACAGGGCTTAGTTTATTATATCTCCCACTTTGGTAATTAAATGAACTAATAATGAATTCACAGTATTATATAGAACACTTCCAAACAAAGGTTTAATTTTAACAAAAGACTTTTTTTATACCTTGTTGGCTGCTATTCCACCATTTTTCTGTCCTAACTTTTTTCCTGTTTCTGCTTATTTTGCAAGAACAGGTTTGCCATAAAATTATGGAAAGTGAAGAAACAATGAAACAAAATTATTTAATCCCAGCTTAAAAGGGGAAATCTTTTCAAAAATTGACATGTTGTGTTTCAAAGTACAGGCCCAGAAGAGTATTCATGTTTTGAGGTGATTTCTCAACTGCCCAGAACAAAAACTGCCATAGGAAAAAAACCAATACTCCCAGCTCATGGTCAAACATTTGAAAGTGAGGGTAGCTCAGTTTTAGTATAATTCTGAACCCACTTTAGACTTACTCAATGATTTAGCAAAAAGCAACCAATCAGGTGCTGTCAACTTGTGTCTTTAAATACCTCCTTTGTTCCCTAACTTTTAAATATTGCCCAAAGTCTATTTCTCAGGAAGACAGATTCCTCAAAGTCTTTTCCTCTGGAAAACTTTACTTGCTGTCTTCCTGCCGGTAAACTTGCAATAAAAAGCTGGTGTCGTAATTGACTTCTGTGCACATTGGACATCAAGCTCATTGCTTGCTTACATCCAAAGACCAAATTTGGCCCACTATCTGTTTTTATAAATAAAATTTTATTGTAACAATACCACTGATATCTTATTTGGTTCCCCTATATTCCTCCTATAAGTGAAACAATCCGATAGTTTTCTTTTTCCTTCTGACTTCTTTCACTAAGCATAATTCCCTATAGCTCTATCCATGGCATGAGTTTATCTTTTTGATCGCCGAGTAATATTACATTGCGTATATATACCACATCTTCTTGATCCAGTCGTCTATTTTCAGACATTTGGGTTGTTTCCAGGTTTTACCTATTATAAATAGTGCTGCAATAATTTACTGTCTGCGTCTTAAGAGAAAAATTGTTGGTCCCCATTCCATAAGAACTGTTAGTTCTTATGTAATACACTGTAAATTTCTAGGTTGAATTATTTTTTTAAAGATTTACTTATTTATGCATACAAGAACTGGGGTATAGGGCAGAGGTGCGGGGGGTGTGGGAAGGCGAGAGGATTCACCAGAGATAGAGTGGGGAACAGAATAGGCAGATCAATGGAAATACACTGCTGAGGGGAGCAGCGGGCGAGACAGGAGGGGTCTGTTGTGCCATGTGGGTTGCTCCCTGGCTGGGGATTGAACTTGTGCTGCAGTGGCTGTGGATAGATTCATAGGTTGTGTCTTAACCCCTGCGCCACCAGGGAGGCCCCTCTAGGTTAAATTAATTTTAAGAGCTTCTAAAGGACTAAGAAATCATTGGGGTTATTTACTGAATATTTATTAAAATATCTTAAAAGTAGTTTCCAGGTAGATTAACTAACCTTTACTAGAGGTACTACTGGTGTTTTAAACTGGATTTTTGGTGAGAAAATGCTTAAAATTACCAATTATAGTGGCTATAAGAATTACCTATTATAGACGCAGACATATTTATTTTACAAGGTCAAAATCATACAAAGGAATCTTAATTGATAAACATTTCATAAAGTATATATGTAACTAATTTCCATAACCTCTGAGAAAATATGCCCATGGCTGATGAATGAAGTAGTGATTCAGATAAATTTGTTTTACTGTAAAGCCAACAGAAAACAAAAATAATCCTTACTTATTTCCCCTCTAATTATTAATAACAGTTCCTTAAAAAAATGAACACTTTCATTTGTTTTTGTTAAAAACATTACAAAGTGCAAACTGTAGCTGTTCTACTCATTTTAAGTTGAACAGGAGGAAAGCTAACAGTTTCTAAATACAGTTCCTTGTCACATTCTCTTTGCCTTTTTGTTTCAAGTTGTATAAAGCTGAAAATGCTCACAAATGTGGTCTGTGTTTGTCTAAATAGATACATAGCTATGTGCCAGCAGGTATCAACAAACAAACAAAGGCTAATCACAGAGCATCTTCCTAGAGCTTCAATTTCACTAGCTTTGGGGGAAAAAGAGCTGAGTAATTTAATCATTGACTTAAAATATTTTAATCAGTGACTTAAAATATCTTAATTATTAACAAACATGTGGATAAACAACAGCATAAATGCTGAAGCATGGATTTTAGACATGAAATAAGAGATTCACAGAGAACTTAAGCACTGATGGCTGGTGATGTTCCCTGCTTCATTCACTCTACTTTGCTGACTTGGATACTTCAGTAGAACAGTGTAATTATTGTCCGTAATTGATATACCTGTAATGCAAGTCCCTGATTCTTAGGAACCAGATTCCCTAATAATTATTAATGGCAAATATATAAGCTTATGCTTTTTTACCCTAAATGTATATAGGAGTAAGACAATCATTAAAGAAAATTTATTCATTTGGTTAAAATATACTTATTGGTGTTTTCTGTGTGCCAATCTTGCCTGCAATAATGAGATCAGAAATTGAATTTAGTACTGTGTAATGCAATGTAGACATCCTCCCAGAGCTTGCTATCTTTTTCAGATCTCACATATAATCTATATATAATAAGACTTGTTGATTCCAAAATGTTCTGAATCTGTCTCTTATGCTTTCCACCTTCACTTCTATCACCATGGTCAAATCCATCATCATTTCTTATCTTGACCTAACCTCACAGGTCTCCTTACTTCCACTACTGACACCTCCAATAAGTTCTCCACAAACTAGCAGAGTAATTGTTTAGATTTTTAGGTCATGTCATATTTGCCTCACGTTGAAAACCCTCTACTAGCTCACTATCACACTCAGGGGAAAAAAAAAAGCAAATTATTACCCTAGCTTATGAAACTCCATGATCACATAGTCCAGCTAACTCTCCAATTTCATCTCCTTGTCCACCACGGAGATGAAGCTCCAGCCACACTAGCCTTCTCGTAAGTCTCCAGCATGCCATACTATTTCCCTTATGAGGGCTGGTATACTAATTGTGCCCAGTTTCAGTTTAAATACCACTTAGTCATACTGGCCTTACTGTGACCACCAGTCACATAACTCTATTCTGGCCAATTATCTCTTATCACTCTAATTTCAATTCCTTGCATAGCACGCATGACTGTTGCCTGATAATTTTTAAAATTATATTTTATTTGCTTCTTGGTTAATTTTATCTTTCTCTTTACACCCCCCCTCCCATATCTCACACCCCTCTCCAAAACAAGAATGTAAGGTCCATGAGAGTAAGAAAACAAGGGACCATATCTGTCTGTTTGCGATTCTAGCCCTTTGGCCTACAACAGAGATTGTCAGAATAGATGAATAATGGAATATGGTCTTACTTCCTATTCCACACAAGAGTTCTGCATTTCTGTACTGAGGGAAAAAGTACAGGAGCTTGATTCACAATGCCCTAGCTTTGTGCATTAGGGCAGAAATACATAAACCAATGGACTAGCACAAAAACCAAATCCATGCATTTTTAGAAATTTTAAATATGATGGTGCCATTACAAATCAGTGAGAGAAATTTCAGATCACTCCACACTTTCCACATGTTTAGTGAATTCTATGTTCTGTTGCAGCACTACCCAACAAGACTTTGTGTGGGAAGCGTTCTTCATTTACAATGTCCTGTACAGTCTCTAGTCACTTTTGAGTGTGTACTTGAAATGTGGCTAGTATGAGTAGAGAATGAAATATTTAATTTTAATTAATTTAAACTTAAATAACCCCGTGTGACAATCGGTTACTATTTTGGACAGCACATTTCCAAAAGGCTTCACAGGTATTTCTTAAGAGGAAAAAAAAAAAAAAGATCATGTGGTTAAATAAGTTAGGGAAATGCTGTCTCCTAAAACTCCTTATTGGAGATTCATACTGCATATAGGCACAGTAAAAGTTTGACGTTCTGTAATAAAGACATTTAATTTTTCT